GAATTCATCTTTCTAACAACTTTCCAAATGGTGCTAATAACCTCCATCCCAGGCCCACACTTGGAGAACGACTGCTCTTCAGCTTTCTGGCTGCTTCCTACTTGAGTGATTCATTCACATGCGAAATAGGGCACCACCCTGCTTCCTGTAAACTGAACTTTGGAATAGTTTTTGTGCATGTAGGAACCATATGTTCGTTTAAGGTTAAACATCTATGAAAGGAGCCTTGGAAGTGTCATGATTAAGCGCTTGACTGCTGACCTAAAGGTTGAGAGTTTGGAACACACCAGGCACCCTTGAGAGAGAAGGGTGTAGCAGTCTGCTTCCATGAAAATTTGTTGTTACTGAGTGCTGTCGAGTCCAACCTAGAGTGATCCTGTGAGTACTAGATCTGAACTTTGTCCAGTCCTGCCCCATCCTTTTAACCTTGATACATTTGAGTCCATTACCGTAGACACTGTGCCAGTCTGTCTTGGTGAGGGTCTTCCTCTCCTTCACTGATCCTCCACCTTTCCACGCATGATGTCCCCTTTCAAGGAATAAACCTCTTCTAAAGACAGGTCTTTAGAGAGGGACATCATGCTGGGTAGAGTAGAGGGACAGCACGGGAGGGGAAGACCCTCTATGAGGTGGATTGATTCAGTGACTGGGGTAATCAAGATGGGTGTGTCAGAGGCAATGAGATTGGCACAGGATAGAGCAGGGTTTCGGGCTGTTGTACATAGGGTTGCTATGAGTCGCAACGATTCTACGGCACATAACAACAACAACAACAACATATCTAAAATACGTGAGATCTTTTTATCCAAGGAACATTCTGGTTGTATACTTTGTCCAAGACATACTTGTTCTTTTGCAATCCATGAGATATTCAGCACTCCTCTCCATCACCACAAGCGATTCTGTTCTCTTGTCAGCCTTCTTCATTGTTCTGCTACCCAGTGCATCATAACAGTTGATTGGAAAGACTCTGGCTGAATCAGACACACCTTAGTCTTTAAACTAAACTAGCATCTTTGCTCTTCAGGACTTTGGAAAGATCCCTGTCAGCCGACTTTGCCAATGCTATATGTCTTCAAATCTCCTCCCTACTGATACCAAAATGTTGACTGTGGATCCGTGTAAGATTAAATTGTTAACAATTTCAACATTTTCTCCTTCTGTCATGGTGTTGCCTATTGTGAATAGGTTTTTTTTCCCCCTTGATGTTGAGATGTAATTCCTGTTGAAGGCTGCAGTTCTTGATTCTCTGCACTAAGTGCTTCAAGCCCTCTTCATTTTGAGCAAGGTTGTGTTCTATAGTGATGAGCAAAGCTGCCTTCCAGGCAGTTGACCCAACCCAGGTTCATTTCCTGGCCATAAAGATTATAGCTTTAAAAGCCTTATATGTTTCTACCCTTTGGGTCAGAATCAATGAGACCTCAGTAAGTGTGGATCAGTTTGATATAGTAAGATGTGAAATAAGCTTACTTATTTTTTTAACCATTGTAGATGCTCAAACATTTGTGGAAGGAAAAAGGTGTACATCTAGCTGTTTTGCTCGATTTAGAGCACTTTGCTCTTGATTAGGGAACCCTAGGGAGCCGTGGTGGCCTAATGGTAAGAACCTGTGCTACATTCTCAAAGGCATGCAATTTGAATCCACCAGCTGCTCCACAGGAACATGGACAGTCTCTTCCTATGCGATTTACTGCCTTTGAAAATCCGCTAAAGGGTCAGCTATTGTTTCTACTTAACAGGACACAAAACCAGCAGCGGCCTAGAGGTTAAGGAGTTGCACTGCCAGCTCAAAAGTGAGTAGTTCAAAAGCCAGCAGCTGCTCCAAGGGAGAAAGATCTCTCCCAATAATGATTTATAGCTTCTGAAAACTTGCTGGACGGTTGGTTCTGACTCAAAACAAAGAGCGAGCCAGTGAGCTTGATTTAATTCATTTTCTTTAATGGCTTTTAGAGCTCTTCCCCACCTTTCTCCCCCTTTTTTTATGAATGAAGAATATATATATATTTTTTTTATTTTTTTTGTTTTAAAAAAAATTTTATTGTATTATTTTTACGTGTACCATCAAACCAGATCTGACTGGTACAGGAGGAGATTGCCCCCTCCTTCTCCAGCAGAGCGACTAACTCGTGGATTTGAACCACGTACCTCTGGGGTTGCAGTGCAGCGTCTTGCCACTAGGCTACCAGAGCTCCCTTGAAGAATATATATTTAAAGCATCTTTTGGAGTTCATCTCCAAGTTTCTGTGGGGGTTTTTTTGTGCTTATTTTTTAGGCTCGATGAATAACTTTTTCAAGCCAGAGGGCAAACTTTCAAAACCTTGCCAGCTATATTCAGCTGGAGGGTCAGATAAAAGTTGGTTCTATTTGAAGGCAGTCAGTTTGAGTTTTGAAATAAAGGAACAGCTTCCCTATTTGTGTAGCTTTGGGAGCAGAAACATGTAAACATCACTGAGTTTGGAGCCTTTCATGGATAGAGTTTTTAGTGAGTGAAGTCATGATAATTGTCACAACTAGAAGATGCCCTATGCCGTCAACATCCCTCATTTGCAGATGGGGAACCTGAGGGCCATGGAAGACAAGAGGCACGCCCGGTGAAACAGCCAAGGCAAGAACAGACTGCTTTCTGATCTGCACTTTAAATTCTTGCTGTCTCTTGGACCAGAGTTATAATTCAGTGTGTAAAAAATAAGATGAACCATGATTAAGATGATTCCTAGAGAAGTGTTAAACAATTTCTTAACAATTGAATAAAACATTTTAACATTTGCTTTAGATCAGATAGATGAGCAATACTCTTAGATAGCAAGCAATCAGGGTGGCTTAATATTGAACAACTTTTTTTAACTGCAAGAGAAATTAAGTAACATAATAAATTATTGAGGGAAATTGTGAAATATTCATTACTGAAGATAGACTTGGACTGAATATTCATTGTGGTTTGGAAAGATGATTTCTGTCTTGTCTTAGTACTAGAGTGAGAATGGATGACCCAGTAACTAAGGGGTGGTCACAGATTTGTGAAAAAGAGAACAAGATAGTTTCGTTATTCATAATCAGGTTTTCTAAATTTCCAGGAGTGGTTGTGACATGATTCATTCAGCTCAGTTTGTCTTGAAATGGCCTCATGATTCTAGAATTGATAAGCCTTTAATACTTAGTGGGATTTCTAATAATCTAAATATAACTGGTTTCAGAAACTGACTTTCTGTCAATAGTCAGCACCCCAGCAATGCTTCCGTGTCGCTCAGCAACATGAGGTGGGCACAGGCAGTTCCTTTGTCCAGCTTGAGCCTCCTTATTAGGCACTTCCAGGTATAGATCAGAGCTTTTCTTTCTTTTGCTCTGGTTTCTTGTTGATGTTTTATTATGTTAAGAAAGAACTGTCAGAATTGTAGGGCAGCAGAGCAGATTGGGTGTTTCAGAGCTTCTACATCTATACTCCAAGGAAATAACTCAGTAAATTTCTGTGGATGACTCTTACTTGAAATAATTTAAAACAAAACCAACCCCATCCCCCACCCCCCCAAAAAAATAGTAAGGACATGGTCTGCAAGCAAAGTCAGGGCCTTCCTGATGCACTTCCTCCGTATTGGAATAAGGAACATACAGGTGGCACAGCCTTCCTGATGAACTCCAGAATTCTGTTTTATCTCCAACCAGCAGCTTTCCCTCTTTTCATTGCAGGCATCTGTTATAGTGTCCATAGGAGTCTCTTGACTCTGTGGCAGTGGCAGTGGGGTGGGTGGGTTTATAATAGAACTCAGTTTTTCCATACTTAACCCAAACCTTTCAGATTTCTTCCTGGCAGATTGTCAGATCTCTTAGTTCATATGTGCTGCCTAATTAGAGATACTTTCTTTCCCCCCATTTTTTATAACAGTCACAGATGCTCAATGCCCTCAGGGGTTCAGGTGCTCAAAATTTGGCCTTCTGGTGCTTCGTGTACTTCTACATAAGATGATTTTGGTATCTGAAACACTAGAGCAGTTGGCAGTTGTAGACTTTTCTCAGCATAATCGATTAATGTTGGCCTGCTGTTAGACACCTGCACGTTTAATCTCTCATGAGCCTGTCATTGAAAATATTTTAATGCAGTTTGTTTTTTTCACTAGGTGTATGTGAAGATTTCTTGGCAGTTGAACGTGGAAACCACTGATCGATCACCTTGCCTTTGTTTTCATCTGTGTTGGCAAAGGAAGGTGCCCAAATGAGCAAGATTTTGCAGCAAAACAGTACCCCAGGAGTTAACGGAATAAGTGTTATTCATACTCAGGCACATGCCAGCGGCTTACAGCAGGTTCCTCAGCTGGTGCCTGCTGGGCCCGGAGGAGGAGGAGGAGGCAAAGCTGTACCTCCAAGCAAGCAGAGCAAAAAGAGTTCGCCCATGGATCGAAATAGTGATGAGTATCGTCAGCGCAGAGAGAGGAATAACATGGCTGTGAAGAAGAGCAGGTTGAAAAGCAAACAGAAAGCACAGGATACACTACAGAGAGTGAATCAGCTCAAAGAAGAGAATGAACGATTGGAAGCAAAAATTAAGTTACTGACTAAGGAATTAAGTGTACTTAAAGATTTGTTTCTCGAGCATGCTCACAACCTTGCAGACAACGTGCAGCCCCCCGTTAGCACTGAAAATACAACAAATTCTGAAAATACAGGACAATAGACCACCCCCTTTCCAGACTTGACAGCTTCTGGCTTGGACGTTTAAAGGTGTGACCTCCTACACCACTCACATCAGTGGCTAAATGTTGTCTTATTCTGTTACTCAAAAAATCCATTGAGATTTGTGTTCTAGGATTAGCACTGAAGAATTGACTAGCTAAAAAGTGTTAGCCATGTAATTTGAATATCTGGTTTTGAATGGAGTTTTGTGGGGAACAAAAAAATTTGAGGTATATGGGGGGGGAAAATAAATCCTGGGCCTTAATGTTTTTGATAAACCTGGAGATCCCAAGAAAAGCTGCTTTTCCAGGTGGAGGTCATTGCAGAAGGTTCTTGGTTTAAGTGAATAACTGTGGTTACCAACATTAAGAAAGGTTAGATGCCATCTCTTCATACATTTTTAATTTTTTCCCCCCTAAACTCTGTACTAAAAATCCTTAGAGCTATAGAAATTAATCATATTGTAATTTGGAGTGATTTTTAAAAATACAGTAAAAAAACCTATTTAAACATAATTAGTATTGTTTATTCCAACAAATGCAAGTTGTTTTCAGTTGTGCCAGGTGAGGTGTAAAGACGCTCCATTGCATCTTGACAATAGTTTGTGGCAAATTGACTTAAAATTACACTTAACACTGAGACAGTAAACACCTTTATAATTTTGGTAATTAAAATATGTTAGAATTAGACTTTTGACATAAGTTTGGGTTATTAGATTACCTTTTTTTAAATTTCTTGGGGGGAAAAAATTGGAAGTGGTTTAGAGAAACTCAACCAAAATTTTCATTTCTGTAGATGCTAGTGAAGTAAGCATTTTGGGAGTACATTTTTGGCAGCTGAGTTAGTGAAGTTAGTGTATTAACAATTTTATCACACAGCTACTGATTGCAGTGTAAAATAGGCAGCAGATCGTTTTAGCTGTTCAAAATTTCTGCCATGAGGCAGTGATTTTTAAAGGTAAAAATTTCTTGTAAAGAATCCATTTGGTATTTAATCTTAACCATCTGATTATTGACCAACTCCATGCCATCTCCCAAAAATACTAATTTAAAAACAGACTTGACAGTGTAAGGTTTTCACTTTTAATTTATTTCATTGAAATACATGTTTTTGTGTTATTTTTGTGATGCTTTTTTCTCTAGTCAGCTGCTCCTCCAGACTTTGCACTGCTTCTTCCATTTGTTTATTTGCATGCTTTCATGTTTCATAAGTTATTTTACATTGAAAATAGATAAAACTCAGGATGTTGACATTTTTATTGAGACTGAAAAATGGCTAAAGTAGGGATTCTCCAGAGTCTGGCTTATACTAATGTTGGTCATTTTGATTGTCATTTTTACTTGTTTTTGTTTGCACAATTCTAGCTCAAATTTGTTGGCATGTCCCCCTTAACCCCAAATGCCTGTTGGTGATGAGAGAGTAAATCAGATCTGATTTAAAAGTTTATGGTAATAGGTATCTCATTTGAATATAGTTTTGTGGTTTTTTTTCCACATTGTTAGTCATACAAGGATGTAACCATACTATAACTCAGTGTATCTCAAGTTGTACTCTTGGGTTTCTGGAAGCTTGCATGCTGACTGTGCTGTTGTACCCAGAAGAAGTCACAGTGCCCAGTAACTGGAAAAGTCAGGATTAGGGCCACAAGCCCCTTCTAAATGTAGGAGATAGGAAGGAGCCTAGTGTTGTCTTCTAGAAGACACTGTCCTGGGAGAGTTGTTAACTCTGTTTAGAGGCAGGAAACTGGATAGAGTTTTCTGTCAGGGCTTAGAACCAGTTTACTGTGGCTAGAGTATTAATCTGCTCCTTGTAAAGATTGGCAAATGTTGCAGATAACTGATTAAGACACACCACAGAATCCTCTGAAGTCTGTACTTGTTCATTGATGTTGAATAATTAACCTAATTGGAGATGCAGTTAGGTCACTTGAAACTTTAAGCTCCTGTGTAGGTGTTGCATTTTTGTCTTATTTATTTCAAGCAGTCTTTCAGAAATTGAAGGTTACCAATTATATGAGCTGGCTTAATAATCTTGTAAAAAGAAGCTTTATGCAAATTGTCAGAGGTGTGTAAATCACAACATAAGATTTGAACTTGTTAGAAGAGTTGCCTTGAGCTTTCTTTCCTGTTAGCTGTGCAAAGAAAAACTTTTGCACAAGTATAGCACATAAATGTTAACTTGTTAACTATTGTTTTGACTACATAAACTGGTTGGGGATGAAAATTTGAGTCTGAGAGAGAATCATTTATGAAATTGAGGGAAATCCAGTATGGGGAATGAGTAAGTTCAGAGCTTTGAAGAATTCTAAGATGACTTTGTAACTCTTGCTCTTCATTATTCCTTTCGAACCAGTAGGATTTGATTTGTCTTTGATGGCAGTATCGGTGGTTTTAGAGCTAGGCTTTGGTGTAAATTTAGAAATACATCTAACTGTATCTCCTGGTGGTGGTGGTAATGACTGGCGTCGGCTGCACATGCTAAGATCAAAACAGCTTTCCCTTTAGTTTTTTGGGACATATGATCAGATACTTTGGACATTCTTACTAAGAATTCAGGTGATAATAATAAAATATGACCAGATTTTTTTTATTAAGCAGAAATATGTACAATTTCGTAGATTGATGTTAGAAGATAAGGAAGTGCAGCAAAACTTTGATGTTCCTTAATCCCCATTAGAGAGCTTGGAACCTTGTATCTGAACACCCCATTTAGCACGTGGAGTGCTTTTTGATGCCTTAGAAATAGGGAAAATAGTTTTTCTGTTCAACAAAAGCTAGGAAGGAAAAAGTCCATTCTTAGCTTTTTGATCTGTTTCTCAGGAAAAAGTACTAACATGTTATTTTTGTTCCTGATTTCTCCTCAGTTTGTGAGATTACTCTATTTTTTAAAGTATTTTTTTTTATGAATCTGAAATAAAAAATAACCTTTGGTAATAATAACTATCTCATTGTGGGTTTCTTTACATTAGATACTAAAGTATAAATGTTCAGCAGCTCCGAAGAGCAGGGTGCTGCCCTGCTGTCTTGTGGTCCCAGCCCAGCGTGGGAGAAAAGGGGAGGTGATTTTATCCAAGTCTAAAATTTCTTTAGGAGATTGGACAGTTTTCTCTGAACATAGAATTTTAGTCACTTGTTTTAATCTAAGCATGAATATGAGAATAGAGAGAGCAATAATTGGTGTTTCCACTTAGACATCAATGTCTTAGTATATAGTTTCCCATTTTCAGAGTGGTAGGTCATTCTTACATTTTTAGGTAGATAGTCAAGACTATAAGAATGTAAGGTGTTTTCCTGGCAACAGTTGTATAGTGTGCGTAAGTAACAGCATAAATGTGCTGCCATAGAGCATCTGTAAAGGTGGAGTTACTAAATTAAAATATAATCTAAGAAGCCCAAGATTTGGAGTGTTTCCAGAGAAGATACCATTTAGATACTTTTCTATGGTGCTTCCATTATTTTCATGTCTCAAGAAAGAAATTCCTACTTGTTGCATCTTAATTAAACTTGTAATACAGTAATTATTTCTGTGGATAATATGTCCCATTTATTTTTCACAAATTCGTTCAGATTTAAAATCCAGTATCTTTCTGTCTGGGAATTTTACATAGGGATTATTTCTTTGTGAAAGTGCCAGCTCTTTTTAAAATAAATACACTTTTAGACCTGTTTTTTTTACTGTCTCTGTGTATTTGAACAGTTCATATGCAATTGTCATATATTCAGCATCAACCCCTTGATATTCTTTTACTGCAGCATCCCAGTTCTACACAGAGTTAAGGAGTTAATGTTAAGAAGGATCTGGGGTTGTAAGGGAATGGAGCTGTTAACAGGGTGGTCGCATTGTTGTGGCCAAGAAACTCAAGTCTTGCCATCTCCTTTGAGGGAGCTATTGGATAGCCAGATTCCTTTCCACGTCATCACCTCTCACTTCTGCCCCTGAACACTGAATGGATTTCACCGAGCCCACCTTTTTTTTTTTTTTTAATTTAGGTTGTTTATTTTTCATTTCAATGACCATCTACAGAGATTTTGGAATTCCATTCATTCATTGTTGCACCCTTCCCCC